TATTGGCTTCTCCTATTAATACCTACCTTGTTGTCAGATAATTAATGATAAGATCTAACATGAAATTTATAAGATATAATAAAGGTTTCTATTTTTATTCCTACCTTGTCATCTATCAGATATTCATTGATGAGATCCGAGATGAAGTTTATAAGACATATTGTAATGGCTTCTCCTATTAACCTTGGTACAAGGCCACTAGAAAACAAAATGATACAAATGTATTTGAAATTATGGATTTGATTCATTTAGTTTTCATTTTCTACTTTTCACTGACATTTTACAGAAAGAGAAAAACTCACGCATAGAACCCGGAAAAGCCTTCTATTCTGTAGATTTCTGATATCGATGAAAATATGTTACTAAAAGTAAAAAAAAACTGATTTTAATCTGACTCCCGTTTATTTAGAACATCTCTTTACAAGATACATGATAATTTTCTCCTTATAATTCATCATTTCTATTGATAATAATTGTTTTGGTAGAGATGGCTTACATTTTATAATTCTAAATAATGAAATTCAGGGTAAACTTTCAAAACAAACTTAAATTTTAAAAAGATTCATGTCAATGTTGTAAACCTAATGATCTGTACTTAATAAAAATTAAAAGAAATTACTTGTGCATGGTTTCTTCTCCAATAAACTGAGCCATGGTTCTTATTGCAATAACTAAAAAAAAATCAAATCCATTATGTTTTGCTACGAAATTATTCTGTGATGACCAATTTCACTGACAACGCCACTTAAATCTGATCATGAGTTTTAACATCCTTGTTTACATTACTCTCTGTAGAAAAAATTTAACAAAATCTTTTCTGATAACAAATTAAGGTTATAGCAATGTTAAACCTCTGTTGACAGAGTAATAAAGAGATCAAGAAGTTTTTATATGACCTCAGATGTGCTAACTAAGGATTAACAATAAAATACATAACAATATTCTTGTACATGTAACTGTGTAGTATTAAACACAAATTTAAAATTAAGAATGACTCACCAAAACCTACAATTTGTTTTTTTCATACCTTGAAATGGATGACTACAGAAAATGGCAACACATTTAGCTGTCACTTCTCTTGATGTCTGAAATTAGATTATAATAATTTTTGTATGGCACATTAAAAATGACATACAGACAAGTAAATTATTTCATTTCTCATTAAAATCTAGTTGTAAAATTAATTGAACACTGTATCTTTTTACCTTAATTCCAAAATGTCTTAGAAATACGACAAGTTCCGAGCTTTTTTCCTCTTCCTCTATTGGAAACTGTTTCTTAAGTTCCTACAATCCACAAGTGTTATCATTTAGTCATCAGACTTAGGAATTTCAGTCTACATGTACCAAAATGTTTAACACAGGACATTTACAGTCAATTCAATATCTTACTACAGCTCAGCTGTTATAGCCAATTGTATAATTGCAGGCATATAAGTTTGGACATCAGTATCTCAAACACTGTATTCTCATAGTTAAATACCTCAGTCAGGGTGTGTGTGACATATGTCCGGACCAGACTCTCTGTTAACTGTGGCACTAATCCTCTCCACAAACCAAGGAAACCATCCCTCTTCTTGATGTGGCCAACTAAATGACGAAACAGAGACATCCTGTGATATACCTTTCATGTTCTACATGTAACTCACAGAGCAGTTGGCTAGATCAATCTTAAATAATGCTATATATCCGATAAACATTATTTAAAAGTGAAAAGGCATTGTGTGACAAATTATAAAATAAAAACATTCACATGATTAACTTGCTCTATCTATTTTACTTACTGTATTTGAAAATGTTTGGATAGTACCATCTCTCCTTGCGTGTTAGTAGTTCTTTGGATAAAGATGGAATCAAAGGTTCATGGCCGAGCTAGAAAAATGTTCTCAAGAATATATTTCAGAAATCTAAATATATATATAACTTTTATCATGTTTATAAGCTACATAAATGTTGTACCACATATATTCTTTATTTAAGGGTTGAAAAAAAGACTCAAAATTAACAATGTGAGAATGTAACTTTTAGACTAATGTAGTATCTGTGCGACTGTCCCGTGGTACGACATACTGTCTGTATTACGTCAGATGGCGGGATAGTCGCACTCCCTCTCTTCTACACCTGGATGCCGAGCAGACCTGACGTGTCTGGGACAGCAGCGGAACGGGAAGTCGACCCGGGCCAGAACCCACTGTGATTGTCTTTGTATATATTGCTGTACGTTAATAAATACTTGTAAAGATCACCCCCTAGACTGGATACTTTACTGGCGCCCAATTCGCGGGGCCCGGGACTCCCGTACTGCTGTCAGGTATTTTTAGGCATCGGTTTTAGCCGCCATTTTTGGTGCTGCTAGGTACGCGAGAGCACATGTTGATTTTTCATGTATTTTTCTTGAATCGACTTTTGGAATTGATTTGCAAATATTGTCAGTGATTTTATTTGATTATTTGTGACATTTTATTATGGATATGTCTGTAGAGGAGGCCGTGTCGGCTCTAGGCCTGGACACGCGCCCGGCTATCAATAGCGTCATGCAGTCAGACAGATTTAACCCTCCTGTTCCGTGCAGTGTGTATGGTTCTCCCGTGGAAGGGGTTTTTTCACCATATGTTTATAACGGGAGCGAACATATTGCATCCCGTCACACACCTTTTGCTCAGTCAATGTCAGGTCACATGGGAGGGGGGTTGCCCCTGGGGGGTCCCTCTATACCTATGCCCGGCCTGCATTCGGGCATCCCCTGTGGGGAGGGTAGTGTGTTACATGTTATATCAAGGAGAGAGTTCAGGTTTGCCCAGCCCCAATGTAGCTCACCAGGGATGATGACCAGTGATTCCCTGGAGTCCTCTTTAGGTAGCCTGTGTTGGTGTGGCTCACCTGGCAGCACTGTGAGTTGTAGCCCACCTAGGTATGAATACAGTGAGGTTCCCTTGAGTTTAGGTTTAGAACACCAGTATTCTGTAGGTCATGTGCTCTCAGCTGGTAGTCAGAATGTCCTCGTGGGAGACACAGCTAACCTGGGGGACATAGGAGTTAGACCAAGCTTTGGTGAGGGTATACCCCACTCGCTTGACCCCGCCCCTCCGCCACATACACTGTTTGCCAATCAACAGCCTGTGAGGCCTGCACAGCTCACTTCTGTGTATGATCTGAGGCCTGTTGACCCTTTAGTGCTCACCTGGAACCCTTTGTCTGTACAAACCCAGCCTAGACCCGCGGACTTTAGTGTGTCCTCTCTTCCTGGGGATGATTTGCAACCCCGGAGCTCAATGCCACACACTACCTCTGCCCGAGACTTGGTAAAAACTGGGGGTGGACATGCCCAACCCCCACTGCCCGATCACACCCAATCCCCATGGTACAGAGGTGAGGATGTTCAGACCTCACACCTAGGTATGACTATGCCCAGTGCATCACAGCATCATAGGGTCCCCATGTCATCGACTTGTAGTCCTGCCTATCTCGATACCCCAACCTGCCATTTTGGAAGGGAGGGGGAGAGGATAGCACATGTGCATGGTACAGCCAAGCTGGGACACTATGCTAGACAGCTTGTCCCGGCCCACCAGGATAGCAGCTTTAATATACCTGCACAAAACACCAATAGGGCAGCTGCTGGGAGTAAGCCCAGGTACAAGAACCTTAGGTACGATGGTAAGACCAGCTGGAAGGCATTTTTGCATAAGTTTGTGAGGTTGTCTCGTAGTCAGCTGTGGACTGAGGAGGAGCAGCATGACCAGTTCTGTTTTTCCCTAGAAGGGGCAGCAAGCGAGTATTATACCCTGCTGTTAGAAACCAGTAGCCAGCTCTGCCTAGGTGAGATCTTGCAGAGATTTGAGAAGCGTTTTGGCTCCTCTGCCCCCGATCTCACTCATCAACTAAACTTCCAGTCTGCCAGCCAGATCCTTGGGGAGTCACTTCATCAATGGGCCGACAGAGTCCTGACCTTGGCGACTCGAGCCTTCCCCAGTGTGCCTGATGTGCACACTCATGCTATACCTCGGCTATGCTATGGAGCTGAGGACAGAGATGCTGGTCTTTACGCACTTGATGGGCATCCCCGGACAGTGGAGGAAGCCGTGGAGCGCATGCAATACTATCAGCACTCCCGGCGTCACAGGCCTAAGCCGTCAAGGGAAGTAAGAAAGCTGGATTCTGCTCATGACCTAAAGCAGACTGATCCCAGGAGAGTAAATGTTGTTGCTGTGGAGGAGCTTGCAGCCCTCAGGAGCAGGATAGAAAATCTAGAGGAGTTGATAAGGCAGAGGGAAGCTGCCCCACTTCAGAAACATCAGAGGAGTGGTACCCCGTCACCCAGATGGACGGAGTGGGACCGGAAGCCTGCTGTATGTTTCAGGTGTGGAGAGGTGGGGCACTTCCGTAGAGATTGCCCCACCTGAGCTGCAGGGAAGACAGTGGCTACTGACGGGCAAAGGGGCGGGACCAGTATGGGAGGACTTCCTGTGGAGACGTTCCCTAGGTCGGATTCCAAGGAGTTGGGAATCAGTGTTCCCCGCTCCTGTGTGCAGCGACGGAAGAAGCGCAGCAGGCTGAAAGATCAAATTGGGATGCCACCATCACCAGAGCTTTGCTTGGCTGAGGAGGAAGTGGCCACCAGGGAAGAGGAAGTGGGGACTCCCCACTCCACTCTGGAGCCGTTTGGACCAGCCATGGTTGGTGATGAACCCCAAGACCTGGGGAGGATGGACCCATTTGGTGTTGATCTGATGTCACCTACAGGGATGGGTAATTCCTGGTCACCCGTGGCAGTGGGATTGAAGGAGCCCTCTATACCCACTGAGTGGTCATGCGGATCTAAAGGTTTTATGGTTGGCCTGTGCGTGCAAGGCATGGAGGTTACAGCAGTAGTGGATACAGGGGCTGAGGTCAGCGTGTTGTCGACTAGAGTGTATGATCAGCTGGAGCATAAGCCTCCAATCCTGGATTATGTGACCATGAGACAGGCCGGAGAAAATGCAGAGTTAGAAGGGTTTATTGCGGGGCCTGTCACTGTGTGTATTGGCCAGCAGGAGCACGAGATGGAACTCTATGTCGCCCCGTTGCAGGACTCGATGCTGCTAGGCATGGATTTTCTCCGTGCCCGGAAAGCCCAGTTAGACTTGGGGCAAAACACCCTTACTCTGGGGGATGAGGCCATAAAGGTGGTGTTCAGGAGGTCTGGTGGTATTCCAGAGGGAGTGACCTTGACAGGAGGCACACCAGTTGAGGCAGACAGGTGTATGTCTGTTCCCCGTGTAGTGAGGGATTTTGGCAGTGTGGTGCCAAGCCTGGAAGTAGAGATGGCGGAGGAGTTCCTTTTAGACTCAGTTATTGAGGATATCGGTGTTGAACCTCTATCCCCAGGACCAGCCCAACCATCTGTCAATAAGGCGGCCTATGGTCATGTTTCTTGGGGATTACCGAGTTGTGTGGACAGGGGCCCAACCCCAGAGGTAAACGTCACCAAGGACCATGTTGCAGAAATGGGGACAGCCCCGTATGATTCAGGCAGTCCCTGGTGGTCGTCTGATGATTCGACACCAGAGGAGAAAAGTACTTGTCGCTTGTACAGATCCAGGCGTGGGCGATGCCGGAGGGCAAGTTTGCCCTCCAGAGCCTGATGGTGTGAGTGTTGTCAGTTTTTGAGTTGTTAGTGGGCCTGGTGACCTTGGCCCACACGTTGAATGTTATACAGGAGTTGTTAGAGGTTTTCCGGGAATTATCCCGGGCATGCCATTTAGTAGGAATTGTGATTAGGACTCGTGTAAATCCTTGTGGTGGTTTAGACTGGAGCTTGCTCCGGCACTTGTTATTCTTGGGCAGTTAGCCCAGGAGGGTGTTTACAGCACCCTGACGTTGGAGATGGTTCCGGACCCTCTTTCCTGTGGTAGACTCTAGCCTTTCAAAGAAAACAGGGGGGAGTGTAGTATCTGTGCGACTGTCCCGTGGTACGACATACTGTCTGTATTACGTCAGATGGCGGGATAGTCGCACTCCCTCTCTTCTACACCTTGATGCCGAGCAGACCTGACGTGTCTGGGACAGCAGCGGAACGGGAAGTCGACCCGGGCCAGAACCCACTGTGATTGTCTTTGTATATATTGCTGTACGTTAATAAATACTTGTAAAGATCACCCCCTAGACTGGATACTTTACTAATATATAATAATTGAGCTATGGTGAAAGCAAGTAAGTTTGTGGGAAGGAGGTTGAATATAAAGGAACAAAGAAGCTATTACTGAGTGTGAAAAAAATGGGTAGTAAAACCCCAAAATTTCAAAACTGAAATTCTGGCTTTCACTAATTACTGAAAAATACCTGATTCTTGATCATGAAAATCACAATTGTAATCAAATTCAACACAATGTGTCTTTCATACATGCCAACTTTCCCGATTTAGGCGGGATCTTCCCGATTTTACCCTCTCATCCCGCTTTCCCGATCGTGAAAGAAAAATTGCCCTAATTTCCCGATTTGAAAAAATCACCAAAATTTCCAATTATAAAAGATTCCCTTAACCGCTGAATTTTGACAAGCGGGATATCAATGTCAAACTTGTTTATTCAATGCACTCAGGTAAGTTTCATTGTTTATTTAACAATTAATTAGCAGGAAATCACTTCACGCTTGATCGGCCGCAGTTGTCCAGATACGAGTACCTTATAGCTTGGGGCAATTAGGGGATTATCTTGTCAGTTTTAAGGGGTGTGCAAGGTGAAACACATAGATTAACGTGATAATTGTTAGTCATTTTATTGAAAACATAAATTTAAGAAAATGAAATTCTAATCGGAATCCAAAGAGATCGTTTTTTGAAAACGAAAGTAGAAAACTACAAAGCATAGCTGATTTTATCTACTTAAAATGAAAAATACTGTAAAGCTTGCCAGTTAAAATATTATAAAATTAAGATGAAACAATCAAGTGTATGTCAATTATAATTTCTTTTCCCTTCCTTCTCCCACAAGAAATATTTTCTAGGTACTAGTATGTGCATGACTTAAGGAAATATTCACATGGCACGATCAAGCCTGACAAATTTCATGACTGTAAAAAAAAAATTCTCCTTTGGATAGGTGGTATAAATTTCAGTAAATTTAATACCTTATTAGAATTTCTAATTCATTGAAATATAAATAAAAAATCTCAAAATTGTTTCCAGAAACAGGACTTTACAGTATCAAAACCTCATATATTTTTTATCCTTAAAAAAAAAAATGATTTAAAAGTTGTACAATTTTCAATTTTTCATTAAATTATGTGTCCTGGTACAAAAAAAATGTTTTTAATGAGAGAGACACTTATTTTAGCAAAGATATTTCAATTTGGAAAAAAAAGATTTTTTTAATTTAATTTTATTGTGTTAAATTAATCCTTTAGTTGTATTAATAAGTGATATCAAATATTATAAATTTAATAAAACATCATTTCATTATCATTTAATTTCACGACAAAATGGCGCGAATTTAGAGCTTTAAAAATTGTCGTCGCGCGCTAAATCCCCCATGGGAATTTTCAAAAGTTGGCATGTATGGTCTTTGCAAAGTATTAACACCAAATATTACTCTTTTCAATGATTATTAAGGATTGTCATTTTCCCAGTGACTGAAATGGGTAGTGAACCTGGTTTCTTGACAAATAATGTTATATAATTTTAGTAATGAGCAAAAACCCACTTTTCAATTTCAAAATTCCCGGCCCCGGTTTTACTACCCATTTTAGTCACACTAGCTATTACTCTTGCTTTGTACCCCCACATCTTGCAAAATTTTCCCTGTAGCAATCTTGCTTCCTCCTATCTGCACAACTGCAGAGTTTGGTTTTAGTCTTTGACCATAATGCTACAGAGTACAGATCCTACAATGAAAATAATGTGCAATTTATGGGGCAAGATTTTCTGAACAATTCTGCAGCTAGCTTCCTTTCCATGTAACCCTTGCATCCTCACTAGATTACTTTGTTGACGCAGATGTTTAAAAAGCCTATCACTGGCCCTGTATCACAGCACCAAATCATGAGGTTTTTCTGATCAGTCTGTGAAATGTGGAAAATAAATTTATGTGTAATGGTTTGGGCCGTGGATATCAGCCTGGATAGCTCAGTTGGTAGAGCACCTGACTGGAGATACAGGGGTCCCGGGTTCGATTCCCCGTACAGCAATACATTTTCTCCTTTCCTGTTACAGATTTGGTGCCGTTGACCACCCCTGGACTTGCAGGTGAAAGTCCTGCCAGGGGCAATAAGAACTTGGGTTATGTCTTCGAGACCATTTAAGGAGGGAGGAATGTAATGGTTTGGGCCGTGGATATCGGCCTGGATAGCTCAGTTGGTAGAGCACCTGACTGGAGATACAGGGGTCCCAGGTTCGATTCCCGGTCCAGCCATACATTTTCTCCTTTCCTGTTACATATGCATGACTAGTATCTTCTTCAATCTTGATTTTCTTTTTAAAAGTAAATTATCTAATGCGACTAAGATAACATCTTAAAATCTTATTGAAATGTTAATCAATCTCCATTAGTGGCATGAGAGGGTTGAGTCAATGGAAAGTATCCCTAAAGCTCCTTTGGCTTAGCATGCTTAGGCTATTTTCGGTGGATAATCCGATACATTTGGAATATTTTAGCCTGGATAAATACAAGAACATCATTTGCGCTGGTGCATTTGAGGATTTGTGTAACTTTTCTCAAATAAGTTGTTTTTTGACTTTGTTTACAAATCGTGTGCTACTTTCGATTCTTCCCTTGTGTATTTTTATATGTGAAGTAGAGAACAGAGTGGATAAGATGCCCCTGTGCAAAGACCCGGGTACTAGATAGAACTTTCTATCGTTAAAATGATATTGCCCTACGGACCCGGTTTAACGATAGAATGCGTTCCGTGTATTCGTAATGTAGCAAAAGAAACATGGGCGATAACTCGTACACACTATAACTCAGTGCATTTACTACGAACAATGTAGAGAGTTCTGAATGTAAACATGGCAGGTAAATTTGAAGCGAGAAAAAACGTTGAGAAAATTAATTGGATTTTCGTCTTTAGATGGATTATTTTCTGGGATAAAAGGCATAAGCAATCTCAAAAAGGTGTGTTTTGATTAATTTGGTAGTTATTTCCAGTGCAAATCCTTTTTATATTCTTCAAAATCGTTTCGGAGTGGATCTGCTCTGATTTGCTACATTGCAAGTATATGGGACGTATTCTAACTGTGGTGAGGGCTTGTACCGAGACACAGTTAGATCATTCTAACTACCCGGGTACATGTACCTGTGGAGAAAATTGGGGTATGAACCGTATGATTGAAATTTCTTGGATTAAATAGACGCTCCCATGTTGAAATTATGTACAGCGATTACTCAGTGCACATATTGTGAAATATTACCTGAATTAGCACTTTGGCGTAGCCCAAGGGGTGCGAAATTGTGGTGATGAAAGCTCCAGCGGCATACGAGATGACATTCGCCATTTTCGGTACTTATTAATTCGAATAGAAAGGATTCGTGTCAATAAACATGCGAGTCTGAAGAGCCATACTCTAGCTAAAAATATGCTTTGGTTTTATTCTTAAAATTTAAAATTAATTTTAAATGTCAATAAATTACTGTACGAACAAAATCCAATAAATTCTTGCAATTTATTTATGGTACAACTTAGTTCATATTCCTTTCAAAACGCAATGAAGATTCAAAAGTTAAAGCGTCAAAATCATGTCTTTCTCGAAACAAATTAAAAAACTTTTTACTTCAGCCTTAATCAGTAAGTATTGCGTTGATATTTTGCAAGAAAAATTGAGAGTGATAATTGAAAATAGTTATTCTGTGTATGCATTTCAAGAACTAGTCCTATCATCAACATTAATCATTTAGCTCGAATTACCTCCACAGTTTGATCACGTTTTATCAAATCTGCCTTGTTATACACTTACAGCAAATGTTGTCACCGGATGACCCCGTGTGTATATTGTAAATGCTTACTTTCTTGTCACTTACTGATGTTCATTGGCACATGACACCGTTAATGGTCACAAAATATTTGATACATAATTTTATTCACAACAAATGGGTTGGGCAGCAGGCATAGCCTATTTTAGCCGGTTCCATGTTCGTTCGCCCTAAAAATTGTTCGCCCGATTTCCCGTTCGCCCGTTTTCCCGTTCGCCCAGAGTCCACTCGCCCTAAAACTTGTTCGCACAGGGTCCATTTGCCCTAATTTAATGTAGAATAAAATTTAACGAATTTCTTTCCAAATAAATCATTTTTTGAGATCAAAGGGAGATTCTTCAAAGGTATAACCTTCAACATTCGCTGTTCAGTTCTATAATGGACCTATTAACGTCTCAGTCCTTTTATTGTCTTCAAAACATACAATTCGTAAAAATAACACAGATGTATCCCCCTAATTAACATTGATATTAATCATATAAATCATCTAATTCAGGCACGTAGCAACAAGGGGGGCCAGGGGGGCCTGCCCCCCCCCACTTTTTTTTTACCAACATTACTTTTACTATTGGAAATGTTCATTGAAATGCTGGTTCCCCCCCCCCACTTTATAGTACACTAAGTTAATATCAAGGAAAATGTTGTATAGAAAGAAGTTGGCATTGAAGAAAAATTGCCCCCCCCCCCCCCCCCCCCCGCCACGAAATAGGATTTTCGAGTTCGGGCAATGCAGGCAATGTCTTTTTTTTTTTTTTTTTTTTTTTCCTTGCCAAATTTTTCAGGCTTGCCAAAATTTTTTTTGGCTGCCCCCCCCCCCCCCCACTTTCAAAAACGATGCTGTGTGGCTGTAATTAACTATAGTGCAAACACTAAGTCATTCAAAAAACATAAGAATCAAATCAAAAATTAATTAAGACTAAATAAACATTGTTCCTCGTATCAGAATTTGAGAAATAATATCCCAAGTTCGTAAAGGAAATAAATAGAAAAAATTATATGTTATTTTTTATAATTCATATGAGTTTATATATATACAGGTATATGTAAGTACTGGGCGAACCACATATAGGGCGAACAAGATATTGGGCGAAAAATATTTTGGGCGAACGGACTCTGCGCGAACAGACTCCTGCGAACAGGTAGATTGGGCGAATGAACCTGTTACCATTTTAGCCCTCTACCTAAAATATGACAAAGTATACCAGGGTGTCCCTAGATCATGTCACTTACTGGTAAATTATTATCATTATGTTAATGGCTGATGCAACCGTGAGGGCAAGTGCAGATACATTTTCAGTGTACTATTCACTGATTTTAGACTCCTCACTTACACTGCATGTGACATTTGGAACGTCTAGACTCTGATGTCACATTATGTCATATGTAAACTGCATTACCAAATTGAAGCAAGAACAGTGTAGATATTTATATACAATATTTAATCAACTACATATCTGCAAAGTACCATTATCCTTTAAATCAAGGCAAGTTTATTTTTTTTTTAACTTTTGTTTTACCATGAGAACATAGTTTTTAGCTCACCTCAACGAAGTTGGGGGGAGCTTATGTGATACCCTCGGCGTCGGCGTCGGCGTCGGTGTCCCGGGTTAAGGTTAAGTTTTTTGGAGCAGTTTTCTTTTTAAGTACTTCTATGTCCTATATTGATTAGACATGCATGGAAGATGTTTCTGATGTGTTTCATTGTACCAGTCAAAGTTTCAGATGCTGCAATTTCAGCAAAGGAATGACCAGGTTAATGTTTTTGGTGCAGGTTAACATTTTTGTTGCAGTTTTTGGTGTAGGTCTCATTTCCGAGTAACTATAAGCCCTATGTTGACCAAACTTACATGGATGGTACATCTTAGGATGCATACTACCAGACTTGCTTCGGATGCTGAATCTGACCTACATTTTCCGGTTGAGTGAACAGGTTAAAGTTTTTGGTGCAGGTTTCATTTCCAAGTTTCTATGAGACATATAATGACCAAACTTGCATGGATGGTACATCTAAAGGTGCATTCTACTAGGCTGGCTTCAGAAGCTGAATCTGACCTACATTTTGCGGATTAGTGAAAAGGTTAGTTTTTAGTTCACCTCAACGAAGTTGGGGGGAGCTTATGTGATACCCTTGGCGTCGGTGTCGGTGTCGGCATCGGCGTCCCGGGTTAAGGTTAAGTTTTTTGGAGCTGTTTTCTTTTTAAGTACTTCTATGTCCTATATTGATTAGACATGCATGGAAGATGTTTCTGATGTGTTTCATTGTACCAGTCAAAGTTTCAGATGCTGCAATTTCAGCAGAGGAATGACCAGGTTAATGTTTTTGGTGCAGGTTAACATTTTTGTTGCAGTATCTGGTGTAGGTCTCATTTCCGAGTAACTATAAGCCCTATGTTGACCAAACTTACATGGATGGTACATCTTAGGATGCATACTACCAGACTTGCTTCGGATGCTGAATCTGACCTACATTTTCCAGTTGAGTGAACAGGTTAAAGTTTTTGTGCAGGTTTCATTTCCAAGTTTCTATGAGACATATAATGACCAAACTTGCATGGATGGTACATCTTAGGATGCATACTACCAGTCTTGCTTCGGATGCTGAATCTGACTTACATTTTCCGGTTGAGTGAACAGGTTAAAGTTTTTGGTGCAGGTTTCATTTCCAAGTTACTATTAGACATATAATGACCAAACTTGCATGGATGGTACATCTTAGTATGCATATTACAAGACTTGCTTCGGATGCTGAATCTGACCTACATTTTCCGGTTGAGTGAACAGGTTAAAATTTTTGGTGCAGGTTTCATTTCCAAGGTACTATGAACCCTATAATGACTAAACTTGCCTGGATGGTACATCTTAGGATGCATACTAACAGACATGCTTCTGATGCTGAATCTGACCAACATTTTCTGGATGAGTAAACAGGTTAAAGTTTATGGTGCAGGATTCATTTCCAAGTAACTTTGAGCCCTATAATGACCAAACTTGCATGGATGGTACATCTAAGGGTGCATTCTACTAGGCTGGCTTCAGAAGCTGAATCTGACCTACATTTTCCGGATTAGTGAAAAGGTTAGTTTTTAGCTCTACTGGTCAGAGACCAGAAGAGCTTATGCGATAGTAATGCGTCCGTCGTCCGTCCGTCTGTCTGTCTGTCTGTAAACAATTTTTCAAAATGCTACTCCTCCTACAGTTTTGGTCCGATTTCAATATAACTTGGCACACAAGTAGACTACACTAAGATACATAATTTTGTGCATCGGTTTTTGATTTCGATGAACGGTGTTGCCGTGGTTACTAAAAATAGAAATTTCTGTGAAATTCTTTCAAAATGCTACTCCTCCTACAGTTTTAGTCTGATTTCAATATAACTTGGCACAAAAGTAGACTACACTAAGATACATAATTCTGTGCATCGGGTTTTGATTTCGATGAACGGTGTTGCCGTGGTTACTAAAAATAGAAATTTCTTTGAAATTCTTTCAAAATGCTACTCCTCCTACAGTTTTGGTCCAATTTCAATATTACTTGGCACACAAGTAGACTACACTAAAATACATAATTCTGTGCATCGGTTTTTGATTTCGATGAAAGGTGTTGCCGTGGTTACTAAAAATAGAAATTTCTTTGAAATTCTTTCAAAATGCTACTCCTCCTACAGATTTGGTCCGATTTCAGTATAACTTGGCACACAAGTAGACTACACTAAGATACATAATTCTGTGCATCAGTTTTTGATTTCGATAAACGGTGTTGCAGTGGTTACTAAAAATAGAAATTTCTGTGAAATACTTTCAAAATGCTACTCCTCCTACAGTTTTGGTCTGATTTTGATATAACTTGGCAAACAAGTAGACTACACTAAGATACATAATTCTGTGCATCGGTTTTTGATTTCAATGAACAATGTTGCCCATGGTTACTAAAAATAGAAATTTCTGTGAAATTCTTTCAATGTGCTACTCCTCCTGCAGTTTTGGTCTGATTTCAGTATAACTTGGCACACAAGTAGACTATACTAAGATACATAATTCTGTGCATTGGTTTTTATTTTGATGAGTGGCAAGGATCATTTTTCTATTTATTGCTGATTTAAAGTCTCAAGTCCCAACTGCTACTTTTCTCTTCCTTTGTTTTAAGTATAAACCAGTAGAGCTACAGTCTTGACAGAGACTTCTGGTTTATACACGTTTCATTTCCAAGTAACTTTGAGCTCTATGTTGAACAAACTTGCATGGATGATACATCTTAGGATGCACACTAATGGACTTGCTTCAGATGCTGAATTCGACATACGTTTTCCAGATAATAGACCTCGTAAAAGTTATGGGTGCAGGTCTATCACCAAGAAACTATAAGGCTTATATAAACCAAAGTTGCACAAATGATGCATCAAGGGATGAAAACTCAATCTTGCTTCAGATGCTGGATTTTAATTACATTTTCATGATGAAGAACTAGTTTTAAGTTTTTATATAGGTCTATTCCAAAGTATCAAAATTGCATAAATTTTGCATTTTTGGATGTA